TAATAAATTCTTGATTGATTTAAAATTATTACTTATTCTATATTCCTTCATCGAAACAACAAAAAAATTTATTTTTGCTCTTGCTGTTTAAATTTATTAATCGTTTTTAATAAATTTATTAAAAATAAAAAATAACACGGAATAGAATAAATTTTTTTAAATCGAATAACTTCATGACCAATGTATATATATATATAAGAAATGGGTAGAAAAAAAGAAAAAATTTAAAAAATCAATGATTAAAAAAAAAACAGAAAATTACCGGCATCTTTTAATAGTATGTTTGTTATTTCACAACACAAGCTGAATTTGCAATAAACATATATATTTCCATTCATTTTTTCATTCATTCAGAAAAAGAAACGGTTTGTATTATGAAAAGAAACTGATTGGGCACGAAATTAACTGAATGGAATATAATAGAAATAATGCATTCGACCTGTAACATACCCATTTAGCGTAGTCAGGTGGAAACTAAACCTTATAACATTTATCATTATTCTCAAGAAGCTCAAAAAATTCAACACAAAAAGTTTTCACGTATACGATTTCAAAAAAAAAAAAAAAAAAAAATTTGTTTTGGTACCTTTTTATAAAAATTAAAAGGGACAAAACCAAAAAAAAATTAAAAAACCTACAAAATACAACTATTAGAAATTTCAAAAAGTTAATAAATTTATTTTTTAAAATCTCCAAGAAAAAATAATTAGTTATATCATCTACATGAGAAAAAAAATTTTTTTTTGTCTGCTCAATTATTAGGCATGCAAAAGGTTTATAAATGCAATGTTGGCAATTTTGTGTGCAAACCTATGCAGAACAGGTAGATGAATAGAGAATCTACAGATTCATTAAAACTTTTTTTATATTATAACGAAAGAAAATAAAAATTTTTAAAAATTTTAAATGGCGAAACTATGAAAACTAAGAAAATAATTACATTAGATTGTAAATTTAAAAAGGGAAAAGAATAAAAAAGTTGTTTAAAAATACAAATTTAAATAATATTTTTTATATTCCGCTTATTATTATTTTTTTTTAACCACTCTCTACTATTTTGTATTTTAGGGTAATAAGATAAAAAATCAAGCGATAAAAGAATTTCTTAAATAAAAATTGATTTTTCAAAATCAAATTAATTATTTTTAATAAAAAAAAAAAAATTTCTTTTGATAAAAAAATAAGTAAATTTGAGAAAAAAAAAAATATTAATCAATTATCGAAAAGAATTTTAGATTAATTATTTTTAGAACTAAGAAGAAAAAAGATTTTTTTTAAATAATAGAGTTTTTATTAACTCTTTTATAAGAGAAATTTATTTATAACAATAATAATTTTAAATACTTCCTTTGAACTACTTTACACTTAATAATTTTTCATATTTGATAAGTAATCCAAAAATAAACATGGATGCAGTAGAATGAAGTGCAATAATTACTACAAATAATAAATAAAAAAAATTTTTTTAAAATGTTATTAATAATACATAAAAAATTATTAACGAAAAAACTTTTTGTAATTTTAGTAAAGATAGTAAATATATTTTAGAAATATTCTATAATTAAAAAAGTAATATTTTTTTTTTTTAAATTTATGACTGATTATAAAAAGCTATGACTAAGAGTATTTTATTGACTGAATTTATAATAAAAAAAAAAATTATTTATTTTAGTTCCTCATCCATATTTATTTTAATAATCTATACTTGTGGGTTTTAAATATGAATTTTTTATTGAAAATCATAATTTTTATCGAGTAAAAATGCAAATTACTTACCTTTGTAGTTTGTTCGAAAGCATTTTTAAATAATTCGAATCTCGAAATAATAATTAATTA